TCCCTACAGTCACAGAACAACCCAGGTCATTAACAGCAAAGCCTCTACAACCAGAACAGCGAGAGAGGGAAATAGATCTATTTGTCATCCCCGAAACACTGTGGGGAGGGAGGGTACGAACCGAAGGGCTGGCTGGTACCGAGGGGGGGATCCCACTTTGGTTTTAGCATCTCTGAACACCTCCCTGTTCCACAAAAGATGATTTTCTCTCCAAGGCAGGGTCTGAGAGGCAGCTGAGCATCTGTCAGCGACCGGTGAGGAGGGGCACAACCGTCCCAACAGAGTTCAAGCACAGGTCCACACCCCCAGCACCACCCCGGGGCTTTTATTTCCTTTTAGGGTACAAAAAAAAAGGTTCATGGGAGCTTATCTCTTGTGCAGCGCTCGCTGCTCTACCGGCAGAGAATCATCTCCAAAGAATGTTTCAGTAATGCTGCGGTGCTGAATTTCAGAGGGACACTTAATCTCGCCCGAGTGGTTCACTAGGGCCAACTTTCTGAGCATGAAATATTTAACTATCCATGGGCTCCCAGCACTATAATAAAGCGACTTTTAACAAGCCTCTGAAATAAATAGGTGAAGAGGAAAGTGGGAGCTATTAAATGCACAAAACATGGGGAATTACTCTCTTCCTTCCATCCCCATGAACCCAGGACACTGCTTGCCCCCCTCCCAGCAGCAGGGACCCAGACACAAAACATCTCTTCCAGATGCTGTGAGTCCACATGGGAAGAATTGTGAACAGGAGGTCAACATAAAGATTTGAGGAGCACTGTTACCAACTTTTCCTCATTTTGGGGATGTAAAAAAAACTTATTTGACTCGCCTAAACAAAGACAAGCCTTATATTTAGGGAGCTTAAAAAACTTTGAGAAGCCCCTCACATCTTGCAATTCTCCCTCTCTCCCGCTCCAATTAACCCCATTTTTTGCCATTTAGCATGTTAAAAGACTTACAAGTGAGCATTTGCCTGTTAATGCGACGTGAGAGTTAGTAGAAGTGACATAACCCACCCAGGACCCCCTCTGAAGGCCAGTGTGCCAGGGAGGAGCTCATGCTGTACAGATTCTTTCCCGGCACAGCAGCTATTAAGCAAGGTCAGCCTTACCTCATCCCACTCCGAAGCAAAAGACGGCGACTTCTCCAGTCTCTTCTTGCCAGTGCTGCAGTTCGAGAGCGATTCACTCCGGCTCCCCATGGCATCGTCCTCCGTCGGAGAGCAGGTCAGGAGATCTGAGTCCGACTTAGACAAGCTGCGGCTGAGTTTGAGCTCAGCTTTGGGTTTGCTCCCTGGGTGGGCTCTGCCCACAGCTCTGTCCCCCTCTTCCTCGGCACCGCCGGGGTGCTGAAGCACGTGGGGCGTGACTACAGTTTCAGGATCCGCCCGGTTGACGTGCGTGTGCTGGACAGTTGCGTAGACCACTTTCTGGTTTTGGTCCGGAGAGCTGGTCCGTATCGATCCAGAGGCAGGTAAGTCAGCATCCTCCAGCTGCATAGCAGGTGGGTGGCTCGGAGCTTCCGTGCCTCCTTTCTCCGTGGAGGAAACGAGCCTGAAAGGGTCCTCGCTTATCTCACAGATTGGGGAAGAACCGTGGAGCAACCCCGAAAACTGCTCGGGAACCTGGATGTCCTGGCCGTCGGCAGAGTCCTGGCTTCGGCACTCCTGTGGTCTTCATGGGGATGAAAAACAGGGGAGGGGGGAGCATTAAAAACATGGAAGAAGCAGCAAAATTCCAGCTCTCCCCCTGCTCTCCCTCAGGAAGGGAGGGAGAGATAAAGAGAGAACAGTTCTGTATTGTTCCTCGTATTCAACTTGTACCCAAAGTCATGGCATTTATGAAATTCCAAACACTGGCCTGATTTATGCAATCTGGCAGCACTCCTTGTTGTTTTATTCCTGTTAACACTAACTATCAGGCCTTGCTATATAAGGCTAAGAGAAGTGCTAACTATATCCTGCAGAGAGAGCAAGTGAGGTAGGAGAGGCAGAGACAGAGGCTCCTGGAACATCTGATACATTTCCATAAAGGCCAAAGTGTTATTTCGAGCAGCGCTCCCTGCTCTTGGCACAAGCTGCAGGGTGGGAAAACTTCTGGACTGTAATCAACCTGCGCGTTCCAAAATCCGCTCCCCAAAAAAACCCGCTGCTTTCCTCCCTAGTGGTTTCCGAGTTTAACCTCTCCTCCTTACTCAGGGGAGAGAAATAAACAGTTTACGCAATAAGAAGCTTGATCAAAAAGTCTCTTTCTTGCAGGCAAACCACGGAGAGCAGCAGCGAGCTGTGCCTGGCCCGGAAACAGCCACTCCTGCACCTACACCTTTAATACCAGGTACCAGGGTCCTGCATAAATCGTGACTCATTGACTGACCCCATTTGCCACACGTGGACTCACCTTGGTCACATCCAAACGTGCATTTGAACCATAAAAGCAAAATTTTGTAAAGCTAAGAAGAACGACTTCTGTTTACCAAGGCTTCCTGTACCCACCCGGAATCACTTGAAAAATTTAGACGCTTCCATTTAGTGCTGAAGGAACACACTTCAGCGTGAGGATTGAAAAATGACGCTGCAAAGGAACAATACAGCAAAGCAGCCTGATAACATGGCTCTGAAAGGCAAGGAGGATGTTTAGATGTGAGGAGGAAGTCGCTTGCTTTGCCAGGCAGCAGCTCTCGGAAGCCAAGGCAATGGAATCCTCATTTCAGCAAGGCAAAATACACTAAGGAATTTTATTTATCTTTAACTAAAAGCAGCCTATTAACAACAACAGTGAGATCAACTCCTTTCCCCCAAGCATCCTTTCCAGCACTAAAACTTGACCAGGCCATTCAAACCCTAACACCCATCTGGTTCTGTGGTTCAAAATGAGCAGAAAAGGACCGAATTAGTCATCTAACTTTGCAAGCCGCTTCAGATCCCGGGGTGTCGCGCAGCCCGTGTTTGACGAGCGCAGCTATTCCCTCTCGCAGGCATTTGTTTACTCCACAGACAAGCTAAAAGCAGCTCATCCCGTTGGCCGCTGAGTCAGGAAGAGCAAAAGCCTCAACGGAGGTTAACTGCCAGGGCAGCGCGCCGGGAGACCTCGCTCCTCGCTGGGATTGAGTGATACAAAGGCTTATTTCATTCTGGATTCTATCAGTTAAGGATTCCAGGACAATTAAGTAGTTGCTGATTACCTTGCGTGGGCACATAAAGTTTTGCAAAAGGTTGCCAAAGCAAAGGGAAGCACATCGCCTGCGGGCAAATGATGCCACCAGCATCGCTCCTCACGTGCCCAACCAGAAGTTCTCAAGATCAGACTATATTCAGGTATTTGCATCAAGTTATGAAGCTGTAATGCTGGAGAGAAACCTCTGAAAAGCTCAGCCATGCTGCATTCATAGGGCAGACTGGTATTAACAAGAAAAAGTACCGACCTGCTAAGTGGGACACAGCATTGATGGACAGTCACATTAACCTGATGGGGAGGAACAAAACTTTTGCAAAACCAAATTCAAAATCAACTCAACCTCTTTCCTTCCTTGGAAATAATTTCTTCCACGCCCCAGCTTAACCTTTACTGACATTTCTGCTGCAGCCAGAGAGGCGGTTGCTGAAAGTTTATGCCATGTGCTGGAACGCTTGGGTCCAGCTAGAACAAAGTGCTCGAAAGCCAGCTCCAGAGAGTCACAAAAGGGCTCCTGTTGAACAGAAATCACAGCTGCCCATTCATCCTCAAGATGAAGGACTTCAAAATATGAGGCAGCAGCCAGAAAAGGAAGGGATGAAGCAAGGGCAAGAAAACTTGCTCAAGACGTGAGGGACATCTTGAAGGAGACATTTCAGAGAATGTAACATGGGCCGGGGCTGAAAGCTGCGGACAGAACCACTGACACCGGCAGAGAAGAGCAATCTCGCTCCTTTTTTACTGCTGAGGTGCACGTGGCTGGAACACGTGGGGTTTCAACAAGTCCTTCTGGGGTTTCCAACTAAAGGTGCCTCAGGACGGGCTGGCAGAGAGGCCAGAACAACACTGGTCATCTCGGGAAGGTGTGCGTGCCTTTTTTGGGATAGGTTGCTGGCACGATTCAGCTGATGTGCTGATCACTTTTCTCATAGCGAAAAGGGGAACAGCAGTAGTAAGGAGGGAAAAATAGGATTTGGGTGCTACAAAAGCAGAGAGACCCCACTTCTATCCATCTGCTGTACTTTAAGGGATTTGAAAGCATCCATCTCCTGTTACACCTTTTAATTTAGAAAGGGAGTCATCCTTAACACAGGAACTTCTGTCCGACTCCTTTAGCTGCTTTTACACCCAAGCTGAGACATCTGACCGGTCCTGACTTCTTCTGCCAACGCCTGCTGCAGGTTTCACTGACAGGAGGAAGAATTTCTAACACCTAATGGGAACAGGAACCCCCTTCTGGGTACAGACTGTCTGCTTCCCAGGCAGGATTCAATTAAGAGCTTCCCTGCCAGCTGCCTGATGATTCCAGATACGAAGCACTTCCCTAAACTCATAACACTAAGCTGCAACCGCCCTGCCTCGATCGAATTTCTTTCACTATATATCATCAGCAGGATTTGTTTCGTGCCCCTGGATTAGGAGAATGAAGCTGTTATTGCAGCTGCTTTTCACTAAAGCTCCCCAACCTTAAAACTAGCAAGGGCATATGCTGGTCTCTAACTTTCATATAGAGGTAGCTCCCCACGCTACACCACACCAGAATTTGTCAAGTGAGGAGCATGCAAATTATCTCCTGTGAGGAGACCAAAGAAGAGAAAGAAACTGGCCTTGAGGGTGCTACTTTAAAGGTGCAAAAGTCAGCTGCAGGAAAAGTGGAACAGCAAGGTACTGCAAGTGAAACCCAGACACGTAGAGTACGCTCCCGCATTAGTCTCGTCAAGCTGAGTCCTTCCAGGCAGAGTTTATCCTCCAAAAGCTACCCGAACTCGTGCTTTTCTGTATTCCCTTCCTGTTCAAGAAAGGGCAATAAAGCACTGTCCTAATTGCTCAGAGAGATCACTACCGCGACTCTGCACAGAAGCTTCTAAATAAATCATGACAGCAGAAACGCGGGCTTGGACCTGGGACACGGGGAAGGCGTCTGGCCTCTGGCCACGATAAAACCAAGAGAGGGCACGTAGGCTGTGGTTCTACACTATCATTCATCTCATGGCAAAGCAAGAGGTTTCGGTCCCTTCCAACCTCTGTCTGCAATATCCACGTGTCCCCGCAGGCTACCTGGAGTGATATAGGGAAGCAGGGACTTCAAGCTGGGCTCCCAGGGAAGCAGCACAGCAGAACCCCAACAAACACCAGTTTTTAATAAACTATCACAAGGAACCGAGTCAGTCCTACCTGCAGCTGGTTACTGCTGACAGCACTTGGGGATGACTCTCCTGAGAAGCAAGACAAGACATCAAAACTCAGAAGTATTTTCCGTATTCATCCTCCATCAGATTTTTCTGAACGCAGCAGGAGCTGGACAGTCTCCTCCCGGTCAGTTCGCTGCTCTTGGCCTATTTACAAGTCCCGTTACGAGGGCTGAATGCCCTGACTTCATGCATGCGATTGCACGTAGTTTCCTCACCAAAGGGGATGGGAAAGCATTTGGCTCAAAGCACTTCTGATGCTCTGCCCAAAACATTAGGCCAACTTTTCCGAGTGCTCCAGCATGTGACAGCAAACTGCTGTAACGTACACAAAAGGCAACCAAAGCCGGGCGGATAATACCACATTCAGCCAGGCACTGGATACAAGACAACTGGCAGCAAGAGGAACAAAGGCAGCTATCACATATGAAAGGCACCATTAAAACCGGCGTGCCTGAAATTCAGCCTTTCAGCTGCCCTGAAAAGCCCTTCTCAACAGCCCGCAAGAATCGGAGCCCTTCTCTTCTGACCAAAGGCTCGTCCAGAACTCATCGGGTAACATCTCGAAGGCCAGCCTCTCAGATCGAGGGCCAAGAAGCAATTCAAAGCCCTGCCTCAGCCCGCTCCTCGTCTTGGGACTGAGCTGCTGCCTTTGATGCTCCAGGACCCTCCTGATCCAGAGGTGGGAAAATTCTTCAACGCCCCAATTAAGGCTTCAGTCCTCGTTTAACTTTTTGCCAAAATAACTCTGCTGCTCCCTAAGTGCATTTCCTCCCTCTGCCATCAGCGTGTACCTCGTATTTCAAATTCAGCTACGTCTGCTTCCCCATCCCCTTCTGACATCTGACCTCAACTGCTGTGAAAGCCGGAAACGTTTCCTTTTGTTCCCAGTGTAATAATGCAGATTTCAAAGCTGATCCACCCTTCCAGAGCAGTTATGAAACTCGTGTGTAGAAAGAAGCAACCTGTAGTCCTGTGAGAGAAAGCCGGGATGGGCAATATGGGGCAAAAAAGTCAGTGCTAAAGACAAAATAGAAAAAATGTCAGTGCTCATCTCCTGCTTGGGTTGAGAAACCTGTAGTCCCCAAGAAGACAAGCAGCAGGACAAAGCTCAGCTGCTCCTGGGGACACTGTCACATGTCCCTCCTGCACAGGGATCACTCTGGTGTTTTGGAAGACTGCTGGTACCCGCTGGAGAAGGGGGACAATGGCATTCCTTTCACCACAAATGCCAATGGGAGATGGCCCTGGCAAGCTTAAGAGATGCAAGAGATGAGACTCACATTGGATGTGCCCCTTCCCCCTCAGAGCAGCTGCTCCACCGCATTAGCCATTGTGCTAACTGCCTTTAAAAGAGCAGAGAAGTCCTGGAAGATGAGAAAACTCAACTGCATCCTTAGATTTCTCCCACTACAACAGCGGAAAAGGGTCCAGGTTTGTTATGAACACCGTAACACTTTCCATAGACTGCAAACCCTGAAGCCTCAGCCATTATCTTTTATGGCTGTTAATCCTCAATAGGCTAAAGATGCTTCCTGCAACCTCCCCGTGAAACGGGGTTTAGACAGTCTGATGTCTTCAGGTGTCCAGGGGAACAGATTTTCATCAAGAACAAGCAGATGGATTACTTCGAGATTTTATTTTAACCTGACACATAATTACAACACACCTTCGCTCATATTAATCGAGCCTAGACAAGGAGTGAGAGAAAAGGAGCAAAGCAGTCAGGAATAGTTCGCACTTGAATAACCAGCAATAGCTGCACGCTGAAAAGACAGCCTGAAAGCTTCTGCTTCAATGGCTGTCACCCAAGGACTATTCCTGGCCAAGACTGCAAAGCACCAACCTGAAAAGCTTCCTAACTTTGCCTCCGGCAGCAAGTGGCTTTGGCAAATGCTGGTGGGAAAAAAACGACCTCTTATGCCACCCCGTCAAAGCCAGGAGTGCGACAGGACTCACGGAACAAAAGCTATCATGCTGCAAGAGGGTGAGGAAAAAAAAAGTAGAAAAAGCTGGAGGTCTTACAGGGCAGTCAATGAGGCATCACAGCGGCTCCTCTGTGCATCCTCAAAGTGAGGAGGTTTCCAGGTTTAGAATCCAAACTAAATCCTTCTAAATTCCTGCTCAGGATTTTTGAATACAGCACGAGATGTTTTTCCGCTAAACAAATCTTTCGTTGTTGTTGTTGTTGTTGAAGGAAAGCCAAAAAGCCCAGCAACAGCCAAACACAAGAGACATGGTGTTCCCAGATCCTTCGTAAAGCACAAAAGTCCCTCTGGGAGGAGAGTGATTAGTTTGATACTTAACCTGTCTATAGAGTGGATTTACAGTCAGTTCTAGAAAGGGGATTTCTCTACAGGTTCTTCCTCTTCCTCTGTTAGTTTTCACCTCAAATCAGCTTTAATACACAGGGGGATGTTGGTTTTAAGACCAGGATAGCACAGCAAATCACCCGCTGACATAAACATGCAGCGCCAGCAGGTCCTCAAATTCAGCTGGATGGAGAATGCGGCTCATCTAAACGCTTGCATTGGTTCATCTCACTTGTAACAACACAGCCCAGCCCTCCACCCCTCCACAACTACTTGACTGTACACAAGATGTGCTTATTTCCTAAGTTAACAGAGTAAAGTCCTCACCATCTCTTAGTCATCGAGATAGCGGAGTTGCCCTTCCTCTGTGTACGCTTTGAACAGAAACATTTAGATCTCTCCTTTACAAAAGCAAAGATTACCAGGAAACAAAACAATTGCAATCCAGACCCCAGCTGCCCCACCTAAAAAGAATTTAATTGTTCCAGTTACTCTCTGCCCTCTAAGTTTTCCTTAAATGCATCTGAGCAAACAGTTCTGCTTTTTGGATGGTCACTTACCTTTTGTTTTCCTATCCACCGCCACCGGCTTTTTAGTTTCTGCTGTAAGCAGCAGCTCGTAAGGGTGCTCCTCTTCCTCAGCTCCACTTCCCCTGCTCTTTCCTCGTGTAGCAGAGGCCTAATGAAAAACAGCATAATGTAGTGCTCCACAAAGAAATGCTATTTATCCCAGCAATAAAGCACAAGGCCTCTTTATGTCATGGTTTAAGCAAGGAACTGGCAAAGGCAACACCTTTGTTGCAGCGCGTGATCCAAAATGTAATAATCCCTTCTGCCCTTCCCCTAAAAAAACCCCAACTCCACCCAAACCCCCTTTATTTTCTAGTATTTAAGGTTGCCAACAGCCTTCTATCACCGACCAACTGATTCACTGTGCAAGGTCTGCAGACAGCCTGGAGGGGGCAAAAAAGCTGAGGCCGTTATTCCTGTTCATCCCTACTCAGACTTACTGTTGCTATTGGAATTTGCATCGTCATTCACTATTTAGTTGCTGGCCCTATTAGGATGTGGCTGGGGAAGGGAAATACAAAAAAAAAAGAGAGACAAAAAAAGCACACCCAAATCTCTGCCACCTTCTCAGAAGTCTCGGATCCAGGATTTCTAACCTCAGGATGCACAGTGCATTTAGGATTAAAGAGCCCTCAGACAATAGTGCACAAACTCAGTTTAACCTCAGGATGTGCTGCAGAGATTGGGCTCATTTAAATCCCCCAAAGGCTCTGGTTAGAACTCGTTTGTAATATTGGCAAACCCTCCAGCAAGCTGCTCTGGAAAGCCACCATCCACGTGCAGTCTTGCTGCAGACGTGCACATGTCGGTCCACCTCAAGGATAGCAGCCGTTCGACATCCTTCCCAAGCCAGGCGTGCCATCCCAGTGCTAACGGGGCTAAACTGGGCTTTAAGGCACCCTGTCTGCCTGGTCAAGCTGCCTTTCAGCACCATCTCCTGGCCAGACCCCAGCAGGCTGATGCAAGCTCATCCCAGGAGCCACGTGTGCCCACAGCCAACAGCGGTGGCTTCAAACCCCAGCCAGAAAGCCGGTGATCGCTCCATACCCGCTGCCAAGACAGGGAAGAACAGGTCTGAAGAAAACATCCCCCAAAAAAGGGTTCTCCTACCACTCCCAGACTCCTGGAACTGCCACTGTCTAGACAACAGACTGAGAACCACCTCCAGTTTTTAGCCCCGCAACGTGAAAAAGCGTCAGAGTCGCTTCAAGGGCAAACAGGTACCTACCCGACTGCAACTTAGCCAGCACCTCTGGAAGCTGGTGGGAGCCTTGGAGAGACACCCAGAAGTCAGCAACACAGACAGGATTCTGACATCCGAGTGCTGTTTCTGCAAAAACCCAGCTGGCTTTTAAATCAGCTTCCTCAATGGGAGGAAATGGGCCATGTCCGGCAAAGAAAGTATTTATTCAACCTGCTCCAAGCATGAGCTGTCAAGGCAGACCTGCTCCTTTTCAGGTGAAGGAGCTCGTAATGAGCAAATTAAGAAAAAAAACATAACCTCCTGACCAGATGGTGGCACAAAAACATCAGACCATAACAGTAGGTAACAGGCTCTTGCCAGAGATCTTGGAAAAATACTGCCCAGCAGCAGCCTGTCCTAACAGTGCTCAGGCCAGGCGTGAGCCTACGCCTAAAGCTCCTGCAGACGATTATCGTGCCGTCCTCTTTCAAACACAATTCGAAGGCAGAGAGCTCCGCAGCAGCACACAAATCCACGCTTCTCCTCTGTAAATCTTTGTGTACGCATTTATATGCTTGGCCACATTTTATTTTCTCATCCTTCCAAGCTTTAAGTAGAGTTTCAGGTTCAAATGCACTCAAAATGAAGAGAACCGTGCCGCTTCTGTGGGTTTTGCAACCAGGAGTAATAAACTTCCTGTCAATTAATGAGTCTAAATAGTCATTATTAGCAAAGCCCCCAAATTGTTCATAATGAGCACGCTCTTTAAAGTGTATTTAATCCACAGCAGAAGACTCTGAAAGACTTTTTAAAGGGTAACTCATCTCTTTTCTCCCTCCTCCCCCACCAGAACTGCAGATGAACTGCGGGAACAATCATGGCTCCTTGCCTTTTGTCTGCACTTCCCTTTCGGAGATGAGGAGCAAACAAACAAAATTAAGTTTAATTTGACTACGCAGACTCTTATGCAGCTACCAGCCCAGAAGGTTTCTGCAGATAGTGGGAGAAGGCACTCAAGCACCTCCAGACAATCAGCCCTTTCGCCTGTTCGTAACTAATGTTTTTCCGTGATGAAAGCTAAAAGTTTCTTGTTTATGCACATCTGTTTTGACTGATAGTCCCGTCTTGGCAAGGGAATAAAAAGACGACTTTTGAAAGTCGAGTTTGGCCCAAGCCCAGCGTGTGCAATGACTAACTGTCCTGGCTCCGACCTGAGCGCAGGGCTGCGGGATGGCACGTCAGGGATGTTGCTCCCTGAGCGCATTCCTGTTCACGCCTGCCCAACCCAGGGAGGACGTGCACAGAGATGATAAATAAAGGGCAAGCGTCAGAAAAACTGGAGCACCCCACAAGTAGCAAGCAAAGAAAAAGAATCAGACCCCAGACTGTCATTTCCACGCTGCCCGAAAGTTGTATTTCGTTGCGAATTAAGATCTGCCCAGCGAATCACTCTGTGTACAAGGCTATTTGCCAGCAAAATTTCCTTTTATGGATCATGTTTCCAAAGCCGTTACTGGCAGGACAACACAGCAGGTGTTTTATAATTAAATATTGCAAGATAACTCAGCAGGAGCAGCCAATGCACGTGTCCCTCCCTCGTGTTTATCATCACGAACAAGGTCTGCTTTCCAATTACGCTGTGACCTGCTACCCTGCTCTCCTCTGCCCAAAGCTGGCCACGGGACTGGCTGTCAGACGCTGCAAAGCCATTTCAACAGCAGCGGAGAGATCAGTCTGCAAGTTCACATTTCCATTTTACCGTTTCCATTTTTCCGGTCTCCCAGAGAGCCCTCGGATCTAAGGTTTGCAGGCAGGTGAATAAAAATGAGCAAAAAAGGAAGCCCAGGAGCAACAACACAGAACGGGAAAGCTTTAGTTTCACCAAAAAGCAGCTCACATGCCTTGACCTCTGCAGAAGACAGCTTTAACATGATTCTCAGCTGAATCCAAGCCTCTGATCCCTGTTCACGTCAGCGGGACCCACGAGCCCACGCATCCCCTCCACAGCTGGGAGCTCACGGGAAGCAGGAACTAACGGCCTTCCAGGCTTCGGTCTCAATCAAAGATGCATTTGGTGGGATCATTACAAGTGGGCAGCAGTCCACATCACAACGTGATTCAGAAAAATCTCTTCCTAAGGGAATTCTCAGTTAAGAATAGGAAAGTAAGGCTGAAGGTCACCACAGAGGTGCCCTGGAAGAAGCGCACGAAGGAAGTTCCCATGGCAAGTGAGAGCTGCGCTGCCAGAAGGAAAGAAAACGACGGTCACAACGCGACTTGCAAGGGAGGTAATATCACAGCTGGCTCCTCCCAA